CATTCCCCAAATCCCCCCCTCCCCAAAATGACCACGCCCCTTTCAGAGGAAGCCACGCCCACTCCACGAGACCTCCAGCCCCTTTCCACCAATCAGCGCTCTCCTGGTTATTGTCCCTGTCCTGTCATTCGTCACACTCGCACCGAGGCCACGCCCACCCCTCCCCTTAGCTCCGCCTCTTAAAGGCACCGCGCACAGAACACGAAAGTGCTTTAATGCGTGGGGGTGTGGCCTGTCGCGACACGGCCGTTGCCTGTCGCCACAGGGGCGTGTCCAGAGCCGGCGGGGGCGTGTCCAGAGCCGGCGGGGGCGGGGCCAGCCCCAGCAGCGACATTCACAGCTTGGTTGGGGACATGTCCTGAGGTTCCCTGGGCGTGTCCGGCCCCTCCCTGGGCGTGTCCGGCTCCTCCCTGGGCGTGTCCGGCCCCTCCCTGGGCGTGTCCCTGGGCCCGCAGCTCGTCCAGGTCCCTCTGGAGCTGCTCGAGGCCCTGCCGGAGGTCGCTGAGGGTCTGCTCCAGGTGCTCCTCGCGGCGCCGGCTCTGCCCCGCCTGCCGCAGGTACTCGAGGTAGAGGCAGAGCCCCCCGACCCCGAAGACCAGGGCCTCCCCCAGCAGCTCGGCGCCGAGCTCGGCCGCCGCCTCCTCGTTCAGGGGCTTCACGGCCGCCCCCCGGAAGCCCAGGAGGCGCATCTTGGTTCGCATCTCTACCCAGTGGTAAACTGGGCGGGAGAAAAAGGGGTTAGGAACCCTGAAATGTGGGCACGAGCAGCCCCGGTGCCAGCCGGGAGCGCCCCCCAAGTTCCCTCAAATTGCCCCAAATTCCCTGGGAGTTCAGCCACAAATCCCCGCTGAACCAACCCCAGATTCCCCTCAAAATCCTGTCACGGATCCCTTCAATTCCATTCTCGGATTCCCCCAAAAAACCAATCCCAGATCCTCCTCAAAATCCATCCCCAGACACCTCCCAAACCCAGCCACAGACACCCCCAAATCCATCCCCAGATCCCCCCAAATCCATCCCCAGATCCCACCCAAATCCATCCCCAGATCCCCCCCAAATCCATCCCCAGATCCCCCCCAAATCCATCCCCAGA